GCACAGGAGAACAGTGCTCAAAGGAAAAAGAAAAAGAAAAGGTTTCATTGTAAGTGCTGTAGCATTATCTTAGTGGAGAAGTCAGCGAACAGTTTGTCTGCAAGGTGTCAGTGTGCTTCAACTAGTCATAGCAATTTGGTGTTTACGACAGATGTGCCAATTGAATTAGTGATAGTTCATCAACCCAGAGATCTTATGATTTTAAGTTGTGGTGTGAGAAAGTCCAATCTGCAGAAGTTTTCTGCAAAATGATCACACAGTATGACAGCTTTACAACAAAACGGGAGAGCAGGCAGGAAGGGTGATGATGATGTCTTGGTTTGTATGCCAATGACATGGGCCAAATATGTCTTTCCAGGCAGATGGACAGTTGGGGGTGATGGGTGGTGGGGGAAGTTGGGGACGAGCAGATCGGCGGGGGAAGCCAGTTGGGGGCAAGCAGGCCAGCAGTGGGGGGCAATTGGGTGTGATCAGGCCAGCAGGAGGGGCAGTTAGGGGTGAACAGGATGGCAAGCAGAGTGATTAGGGGTGATCAGGAAGGCAGGCAGGTGAGCGGTTAGGGGTCAGTGGTCCCAGATTGCGAGAGGGATGTCTGACTGCTGGTTTAGGCCTGATTCCACAGGAGTCCCAGATTGGACAGGGTGCAGGCTGGGATGAGGGACACCCCCCCCCCCCCCGCCGCCTCTGTGCACGAATTTCATGCACTGGGCCACTAGTGTTACTATAAAAGCTCAAACTTGACTCAATCTTTATTTTCTTCCCCAAAATTACTCCACTAGTATTTCCTGTCAGAGGCAGCTCTTCCCACCCAGGTGCCCCACCCTGAAGCCCCAGGCTAAGGCTTCCACTCCACGTGCCCCCCCCCCCATGCCCCGCCCTCCTGAGCTCCCTCTCGCAGCCCTGCCCCAAACTCCTTCCCCTTACATGCAGGGCTCCTGGCTGCTGCCTGACCTGGACAAGCTGCTCGGACTGGGTGCTTCTAGAGTCTGTGCGTTCTCCTCCCTCCCCTTCTGGCTCAGAGGCAGGGCCCACAGCCATGTGCCTTCTGCTTCCTAACGAGGCCCCTGACAGAGGAAGGCAATTTTTGAAATAAATTACTACTTTTGACATTGGAAATGAATACAATACTTATGTAAAACTTTGACAATGTTTTATGATTAAACTATACATTTTTATCCTTAAAAAACAAGAGCAGGGAGGGAAACAATTTTTTCTTATGAATATGCTGTGATCAATATTTTCAGGTATGTGCCTTAAGTGTATCAGCAATTTACAGGTATTTTATTTTTATTTTTTAAATATATTTTATTGATTTTTTTACAGAGAGGAAGGGAGAGAGAGAGTTAGAAACATTGAAGAGAAACATCGATCAGCTGCCTCCTGCACACCCCCTACTGGGGATGTATCCGCAACCAAGGTACATGTCCTTGACCAGAATCGAACCTGGGACCCTTCAGTCCGCAGGCTGATGCTCTATCCACCGAGCCAAACTGGCTAGGGCTTTACTGGTCTTTTAAATCGACTTTATTTGAAGTTACTTTTAGATTTACAGAAAGGTTGCAAAGATAATAGTCTGCCTCCCCCCGTCCCCCCTACACACACACACCGTCTCTCCGTCTGTAACTGGTACATTTGTCAGAACAAAGACATTATGTAAACTAGAGACCTGGCTCCGCTTTCATCAGCTTTTTCGTGCCCTTTTTCTGTCCCAGGATCTAATCCAGGACCCCACAGGGTCATCCCGTCAGCCTAGGCTCCTCTGGCCTGTGACAGGGATTCAGGTTCGTCTCATTTCTCATGACCTTGATAGTTCTAGCAGTTTCCTTCCTCATGTCCAGGCTTCCCTTTAAAATGTTTAGCACATTGAACATATTTATAATAGCTGCTTTTAATATTGTTGTTTGCTAATTCTTTCACTTCTGGGCCTGTTTAATTGATCATCTCCTTGTAACAGGTCACACTGGATCCAGAATCTGTGCCTTCGTGTTGAGCACTGGATGGTGTTGTTCTCCGTTACAGAGTGTTACATTTTGCCCTGGCTGGTGTGGCTTAGTGTTCAGAGCGTCAGCCCATGCAACGAAGGGTCTTGGGTTCAATCCAGTCAAGGGCACGTACCTGGGTTGCAAGTTCATCCCAGTCCAGTCAGAGCTTGTGCGACAAAGCAACCAATCGATGTGTCTCTCTCACATTGATGTTTCTCTCTTCCTTCCTCCTTCCCTTCCACTCTCTCTAAAAGGCAATGGAAAAAATATCCAAGGGTCCGGACTTAAAAAAAAAAAAGAGATTTTATTCTGGTGGCAGTTAAGTTACTGGAGAATCGGTCCGCCTTTTGAATCTTGCCTTTATTATTTTATTTATTTATTTTTAAATATATTTATTTATTTCAGAGAGAAAGGGAGAGGGAGAGAGAGAGAAACATCAATGATGAGAATCACTGATTGGCTGCCTCCAGCAGGTCCCCCAGTGGGATCAAGCCCGCAACCCAGGCATGTGCCCTTGGCCGGAATTGAACCTGGGACCCTTTAGTCCACTGGTCAACGCTCTATCCACTGAGCCAAACCAGCCAGGGCTATTTTTTTATATATATATTTTTTATTGCTGATAGTATTACAGATCTCTCCCATTTTCTCCCCATTGCCCGCCCCCCCTCCTCCAAGCCCCCACCTACACTCTCAGGTCTTCCCCAGAAGCTTGTCCTTTAAGCATTTTTAGGATGAGTCTAACTTGGCTCACCGATGAGGTGAGGCCCTTCAGGGGCAGCTTCCTGATGCCCTGGGTCTTCAGTGTCTCCACGTGGCTGGTGAGAGCTGAAATGTGACCTCGGGAAGGGGTTCCGTTTAGAGCTTCCCAGGACTTCTTTCCTTGGAGCTTGTTCTTGGCCCGCCTTGCAGAGCCACATGTCGCCTGTGGGCAGCATGATGCACACGTTTCCAGACCTTCCTCTGCGAGCTCCCTCTCCTCCACGCCGGGCTGCCAATTCCAGCCACTGTGCCTCCCTGAACTGTTCTGTATCAATTAGCAAGATCACCATCCTCTTTTTTGGTTTCCCCTCCATGACTAGTACTTATTCACGAGTTAAGAAATCTCTGCCTAATCTTGGTCAGGGAACTGTTCAGCCGTCTCAGAAACGGATGTCAGCACTTGTTCGCTGGGATGGGGCAGCAGCAGGCAGAGGGAGGGGACGTGTCCATGTTCACAGTGTGCATCTCCTTCGGCTGTGCTGTGGACATGTTGGTAAAGACTTCAGTGCAAACTCGCCTCCTTGCTGATACTTCAACAATATAAATCGTACAAATTCTTGTAGCTGCATTACACTTTCTGTATTCTGAGGCTTTCTGTCTCGTTTTTAATTGAACATTAAGGGAATGCAGTATTTTATTTATGCATCTATTGGTTAATCCTCATCCAAGGATATTTTTCCATTGATTTTTAGGGAGAGTGAAAGAGGGCAAGACAGAAACATCGATGTGAGAGAAACACATCGATTGGTTGCACAAGCCCCAACCAGGGCCCAGGCAGGGGAGGAGCCTGCAACTGAGCTACAATGCCCTTTACCGGAATCGAACCCAGGACCCTTTGGTCTGCAGGTAGATGCCCTATCCACTAAGCCAAACCGGCTAGGGCGGGGATGCAGTATTTCAATTCTAACTCTGCCAATAGCTTTATCTAGACGCCTGTTGGCTATTTTTGTCCTTTTATGAAATGTTTGTCGCTAAGAAAGACAGGATTACATTTTCTTCTTCCAGACTGAGTTGGTGCAATGTCCCAGGTGTACTGGTTAATAATACAGATTTTTTTCCAAGAGATGGAGTTTCACATATGTTGATATACTGGCATTCTTGGTTATCAAAATACTCCTACAGCTTTGGGACTTTGTAATGGCAAATATTCATCATGTGTGAAAAAGCATGATGCATAACTCACAACCGTGAGTACATACAAGTGGGAGCGTAGTTGTGTAGATACATAGGGGACCTAGAAGGACACGCCAGACTGGAAACTGCTTGTGGTTATGACTTTGTTCTTTGCTTTTTATATTTCTGTTTGCTCTTGTGGGGACACACTAACTTTTAAAAAATAAATATTATCTTTAAAACCTAAAAAAAAAGAAAAGGAATTGTTGCCAACCCTAAAGACAGGAAGGTGCACTTCACTTTATAGTTTCAGTTTGAAGTAATTTCTGCATGTGATACAACTTTTCATGTTTTGTCCCAGGAAGGCAAATGGAGGTGTCCTTCTCCCAGTGCCATTGGTTATTGGTTTTCCTTCCCCAGTGTTGGCTCCTTTACTGTAGTTGGTTGCCCATGTGTGTGGGGTTGTTTCTGTTCCACAAATATATTCATTATTGATAAGCCATTATCAGTCAGTTTGGAATTTGTGCAAGTCCTCCTACTTTATTCTTTTCAAAATTATTTTGGCCACTTAGTTGTATGCATTTCCATAGGATGTTAATCCTCACCCTAGGGCAGGGGTTGGCAACCCCTGGCACCCGTGCCAAACATGGCACGCCAGTAACCTTTGCTGGCACGCGAAACCCTCTCTTATAATCTTCCATTTACAATTTTTGTGAACATTTGAATGACTTAAATGTTACATTACAAGGAACTGGCAAGACACTTGATGTTATGTTTGGTTACATAAAGGCTTTTGAAAAGAAACTGGAAGTCTTTAAGAGGGATGTGGATGGTGAGAGATTTAGTTATTTCCCAAACCTCAAGTGGCACATCAAAGACCTCCCAAAAGATGACAGAACAGACTGTCAAAGCCTTCAAAAGCTGTTCTTAAACATCCTCAAGTCAACTATTGAGTTCTTTTCAAGATCTGCGAAATTCAGAGAACTGGAAGAGACAGCAAAATTCATGAGGTTTCCAGACGGCATGAAACTGGAGGAACTAAACTTACAAATGTTTTCATGGATAGACATGGCTGACTTTGAAATGCAGTTGACTGATTTCAGAGTAGCTCAATTTGGAAGCAGAAATTTATTGACCTTAGAGTTGACTTGGAAAACATTGAAAAAAAGCAATTAGAGTACCAGAGAGAAGTGTTGAAAACAAACTATTGAGGACTTGGAATGCCATTCCAGAAAATTTTTTCTGTTTAAAAAACTTTGCAACAGTGTTACTCTCCATGTTTTCATCCACCTACGCTTGTGAATCTTTGTTCTCAGTGATGAATTTTGTTAAGTCTCCTAATAGGAGTAGCCTGACGGATGAAAGTAGTAGCTCCTGCATATCTCTGAAGGTCACGAAATATAAACCTGATGTAAAATCTCTGTCATCAGTGATGCAGCAGCAAAAGTCCCACTGACAGTATCAAACGGAGTCATAAAGATTTCTGTCGGACTATCAGTGTACATGCATACATTAAAAAATAAATGTATTTTTCATCATCATATACTGTGTTTTTGTGCTCGAATGAGTTTTATTATTTCTTCAGTAGGTGTAACATGTTCTCAAAAAATTAGGGTTGGCACGCAGAAGAATTCTGAGTCAGAGATTTTGCTGGTTTTGGCACGCACTCACAAAAAGGTTGCCCACCCCTGCCCTAGGGCATTCTTCCATTGATTTTTAGAGAGTAGATGGGAGGGGGAGAGACACAAAGAGAGAAACCTCAATGTGAGATGTGAGAGACAAGCTTGGTTGCCTCCAGCACATAGTCAGCCGGGATCTAGCCTGCAACGGAGGTACGTGCCCTTGACCAGAATGGTGATCCTTCAGTCCATGAGCCGGCACTCTACCCACTGAGCCCAAGGGCTAGGGCTAAATTTGAAAATTAGATGGAGGGCAGCATTCAATTTGTAGATCAAATTGTGAAGAATTAATGTCCTAAAATATGAGTTTCTTAATCTGTGAATATAGCTTTCCATTTATTTAGGTTGTCTTTATTTTCTCTCAGCAATGTTTTATACCTTTCACTGTTCGTATTTTTAATGCTACTGTATCCTGCAATTACCATTATTTTTCATTTTGAACTCTGTGTTGCTACTATATAAAAATACAATTTTTATAAATTGACCCTTTATTTTGATCCTGATAAATTTCCTTGCTTTCTTTTGCAAGATCATAAGCCTTTTCTCCGGTATTACTGTCACAAACTACTGATCGATTTTGTAATGTTAAAGCAGCTTTGGTGTATTGCTTTTAAAATTTCTCACAATGTCAAAATTTCTCAGAAGTTTTCCAGAAGAGGCTATGTATTATTGGGATAGTCTCCCCTCCAGTGTTTGATAGAACTCATCAGTGAAGCCATTTGTGCCTAGAGTTTTCTACATGGGAAGGTTTTTAAACTACAAATTCCATTTGTTTCATAGCTATCGACTATTTAGGTATCTATTTCTTCAGAGAAGTTGGGTAATTTATTTCTTTCAAGATATTTGTCCATTTCATTTCATTTATTGACATAAAGTTGGTCGGAATAATCCCTTATCCTTTTTTAAAGCACTTTTAGTTCACAGCAAAACTGAATGTATAGAACACACGCACAGCCCCTCCCCCTCACCAACACCCTGCATCTGTAGTACCTTCCTACCAATGATGAGCTTTTGTTGACACATCATTATCATCCAAAGTCCAGTTACACTAGACCAGCCGTGGGCAAACTACGGCCCGCGGGCTGGATCCGGCCCGTTTGAAATGAATAAAACTAAAAAAAAAAAAAAAGACCGTACCCTTTTATGTAATGATGTTTACTTTGAATTTATATTAGTTCACACAAACACTCCATCCATACTTTTGTTCCGGCCCTCCGGTCCAGTTTAAGAACCCATTGTGGCCCTCTAGTCAAAAAGTTTGCCCACCCCTACACTAGACTCTGCTTTTGGGTTTGTATT